CCCGAGAGGGAGAGAGTGTGTGTGTGTGTGTTTACGGAAGGGAGGATTCGCGCCGGAGGAGGTGATACTACATGTATAAATGATAAAGATATCCATATAGATTCATATGTATACGTAAGGACGTGGTGCCAGTGTGTCCGTACGCAGGTATATATTCGAGTACAAAAGCAACAGCGGAGTTAATTAAAGGAAAAAGGAAGGAAAAAGTAACCAAGTGAAAGAATTATACGAAGAAGAAGAAGGAGAGGAGGTGGTGGAGGAGGAGGCGGCGGAGGAGCGGGAGGAGGAGTAAGTGGACTAGGAACCACCGAAATATCTCTCCTTACCGAACGACCGTAAACAATTGACAAAAAGGAAAGAGGATCAGTCGCGAGGAAAGTGAGAAAAAGAAACCCGGCAAGAAGAGGAGAAGATCGGGAGTGAAAAAGAGCAGGGAAGAAGAAAGAGAGAAAAGGAAACAAACAAGATCGAGGTGGCATTAGAAGGTGGGCCAGGTGGGACAGTAGCATGAGTTCGTACTTCGCGAATTCGTACATCCCGGACCTGCGTAATGGCGGGGTGGAACACCCGCATCAGCATCAGCAGCACTACGGTGCAGCCGTCCAGGTGCCCCAGCAAACGCAGTCGGTGCAACAGCAGTCTCAGCAAGCCGGCGACCCGTGTGATCCTAGTCTCCTGCGTCAGGGTGTCCCCGGCCATCACTATGGTGCCGCTGGTAGCCAGCAAGATATGCCTTATCCGAGGTTTCCGCCGTACAATCGGATGGACATGCGAAACGCGACCTATTATCAGCACCAACAGGAGCACGGCAGCATGGACGGGATGGGCGGTTACAGGTCGACGTCCCCTAGCCCAGCTATGGGCCACATGGGCCACACTCCTACACCGAACGGACATCCGTCCACTCCTATTGTCTACGCTAGTTGCAAGCTTCAGGCGGCCGCGGTCGATCATCAGGGCAGCGTGCTCGATGGACCGGACAGTCCTCCGTTGGTCGAGTCGCAGATGCACCATCAGATGCACTCGCAACACCCGCACATGCAGCCGCAACAGTCGCAGCATCCGCAACAGCAGCAGCAGCAACATCAACACCTTCAGGCGCAGCAACAGCACATGATGTACCAGCAGCAACAACAAACACAGGCGACCACGCAACAAACCCAGCCCGGTATGCATCCGCAGCAGCAACAGCAGCCGCAGCAACACCAAGGGGTGGTCACGTCGCCGCTCAGCCAGCAACAACAGGCCGCTCCTCAAGGTGCGGCCAGTGCCAACCTACCGAGTCCGCTCTACCCTTGGATGAGAAGTCAATTCGGTAAGGATGGAGTTTCAATGTGGATGTTCGAAAAGAAAGAGACGCGTTGCTCGTAACAGATATATGAAATTTCGTTCGCGTGTATCGTCATTTTTTTTTCTTTTCTTTTTTTCTTCTTTTCGTTCGTTTCGCGGAGGAGGTTGGACCACGGCGACGACGGTACGGAGAGAGGACGATTTCTTATTCGAAAAATGTTTTACAACACGTGTTCGTAAATCAGACAGAACAGGAAGGCTGCTCTACGAGAGCAGTAGATGTCGAGAAGCAACCATGTTGAATCTTCCATTTGCATCCGAATTACCCTATCTCGACCTCTGAATAAAAAAGCCGCGCTAGTCGTTCTACTTGAGAAAAAAAAAACAAAAAAAAACAGAAATTAAGAGAAGAAAGAAATATTCCTCTATCTCGGAAGAAGGAAAAAAAAGAAGGAAACAGATGAATCTTGACGTATTCGTGAAATCAGAAAGCGCGGTACGTGAGACGGTTGTCGAAAATAGGCTCAAGGCTTCCGACGAAAAGGTTCGTTGTTGTAGAAAGCAAGGTTTCTAGAGAGGACGGCAGGTAGCCGGCCGCTTTCAGATTTATGCAACAGTAGGTAAAACTAGACCACATTCGTACGGTTCGCAAGCCAAGATTGGCATAATGTCTCCAGTTTCTAGGTATACCGACGTCCTGGCGTTATTTATTGCCCTGACCTTTTAGCTCTCGCTAGTTTCACCACACGTACGTGTACACTCCCCCCCCATAAAAGTTCCTCCTAGCTGGCTGCGTCCGTCGTTGGCTCCACGGCTTGGCAGAGTACCCGCTCATCCACTTTTATTCCCATGATAACTCGCGGCTGCTTCTTTCCCCTCAATCTTACCGTTCAACTGGTTCGCCTGTCCAAATTCTTCGGCAATCCAACCTGGCGTTTTCACGGTAGACATTTTTTTTTCTCTCGCCTGTCCAAAATCTTCGATAATCCAATATGGCGTTTTCATGGTAGACATTTTTTTCACCTTCGTCGGTCCAAAATCTTCGAGAATCCAATATGGCGTTTTCACGGTAGACATTTTTTTCTTCTTTCACCTATCCAAAATCTTCTAGAATCCAATATGGCGTTTTCACGGTAGACATTTTTTTCTTCTTTCACCTATCCAAAATCTTCTAGAATCCAATATGGCGTTTTCATGGTAGACATTTTTTTTTCACCTCCGTCGGTCCAAAATCTTCGAGAATCCAATATGGCGTTTTCACGGTAGACATTTTTTTCAGCTTCGCCTGCCCAAAATCTTCGAGAATTCACGGTCGACCTTTTTGTATTTTTTTGCAAAATGGAAGATTTTATTTGACTGAGTGGGTAGAAATTTCTTTCGATCGTTGTTAGAAATTTGAAGACACGAAATATCGAGCCACCCTGTAGATCACCTGCTCGTTGAAATACGACAGGGACGAAAGGTTTGCCGAAATTTCCTCCGCCGATCCCCGTGACTGGGAAGAATCGCAGAGGGGTAATTTTCGGTGTAACGAGTTGGAAATTTATGGCGGCAATAACGAAGTGATAATAGCCGCTCCCCTTAACCCGGAGGTATCTGTCCCGGGGTTAGGTAAGAGCACAGGTTCCTCCTGTGCCCCGCTGCGTTTGCTCTTATTTCCCTCCCCGATTTTACCGTAACTCTTCGTTCTCCAAATCCGTGGAAATGCCGCAACCTTGCAAGGTCAGGCTTCCTCGATCCCCTTTTCCCTTTCTTGCCACCCTTGCGCGTTCTCAGTTGCTCGCTGAACTTTGCCGAGTTTTAGTCTTCTCTCCGAATTAACTTCAGCCTCGAGACCTTGCAAATCTTTCCCAACGTTATCGTTCAGTCAAGTGTCAGTCATCCTGGATAATTTCTATCGTGAGTATAGTTAATCGTACTTTTTAAAAATTTAGAAAAAAATAGGGCGAGATTAGAATTCGAGTTTCCGTTCTATAAGTTTGTTCGATCATTGCACACCTTGGAAACCATCTTTCGGCTCGTTTCGAAAGCTGGTACCAGCCAGCGAGATTGGCCGATAAAGAGCCTCGTTCGCTATGACGAGGCTGGTCCATACTTCGCTGCCAGTCAAAGGAAGAAAGAGGTTCGAGTGCCTGAATCTGCTCACAGATGTCGGCACGTTTAAGTCTTTCTCCGCATCATCGAACGATATATGTGTATATCTCTCGTCTAGTGTAAACCTATTGATTCTTTGCTCTATCCTCCTCCAAGTCTTCCCCAAAAAAAAAAAAAAAAAAAAAAAAAAAAAATGGGAAAAACGATCGAACCACTATTCCTACACCGTAGGATCTAAATAGAAACTCTTCTTAGGTTACTCGAAGCTGAGCAAAAAACGAAAGGAGATCCTCGCAGTTCCGTGTTCCCTATCTGTACTTCGCTAACCATTGAGAACATGTTCGAATCGGCTCCCACGTGTCAGATCCGTTCGATTTAACTCAGAGAGGATACCTCTACGTATGATTTTCCTCTGTGTCCATTAGCTCGATCCTATTACCCATACATAGGGCTGCTCGGAGCAATCATGATAAACTTCATATCAATTTATCTGGCTATCCCCATTCGTGGCTCTGGCCGTTTTCTTCTGCAACGTTGCAAAACAGAGCCAGCTGAGCTAAGCGCGCTATAAGCAGGCCTCCATGAATAATGCATGGCTCAATTTTATAGATGCAGGTGCTCTCCCGGGCATTTGCCCTCGGTGAAACCGGCGAGATTCCCTGGCACCTTACGCGGGACATTTGCGTTACATAGGTTAGGAAATTCCGGCATAGTTGGCTGGGGCTCGCGAAAACGCCGGCATGCGAGAGGCGCGCATCGCTGTCGATGTTACCGTGTGTCGTTTACTGCCGAACATCACGAAACCCTCGGTTGCTCGTGAAACCACTGTGCACGACTTTCCACGTGAAATCTATCCCCCTCTCTCCCTCTACCCTCTTTGTTGTTCTTGGTTCGCTCGCGATGCTCCTTTGATCCGCCATTTGTTACGTCGACGATTTTCAGCTAACCCTTTCACTGCTCTTGCGGGCTGTAGGCGCTTTGAAAATTTTTTATCCTTCGTTTTAACACGTTCACTGCCACGCTAGATTTACATATTGCTCTCAGGGGGCCACGAGAACATTTTCATTATTTATTATTCTTTTGTTTCTTTAATTCGAAATAATTACGTTCGAAATTTTTAGCCGACGATAGTCGTTTTATTTTCATTATTCTAAGCATTTGAGGTATTCCGGTCTGCGATGACCACCGTGGAACCTTCGGTCACAGGTGACCAACGTGGCACTCAAGGTGTCAATAAATGAAATTCAGAAGCGATAGAAATGTCTCCAATTATTCTAAGCTTTGAGGCATTCCGGTCTGCGATGACCACCGTGGAACCTTCGGTCACTGATGCCCACCGTGGAATCTCCGGGCACAGGTGACCAACGTGTCGATAAAAGAAATTCAGAAATGATAGAAATTTCCCCAATTATTCTAAGCTTTGAGGCATTCCGGTCACTGATGACCACCGTGGAATCTCCGGTCATAGGTGACCAACGTGGCACTCAAGGTGTCAATAAAAGAAATTCAGAAGCGATAGAAAGTTCCCCAATTATTCTAAGCTTTGAGGCATTTCGATCACTGATGACCACCGTGGAATCTCCGGTCACAGGTGACCAACGTGGCACTCAAGGTGTCAATAAAAGAAATTCAGAAGCGATAGAAAGTTCCCCAATTATTCTAAGCTTTGAGGCATTTCGATCACTGATGACCACCGTGGAATCTCCGGTCACAGGTGACCAACGTGGCACTCAAGGTGTCAATAAAAGAAATTCAGAAGCGATAGAAAGTTCCCCAATTATTCTAAGCTTTGAGGCATTTCGATCACTGATGACCACCGTGGAATCTCCGGTCACAGGTGACCAACGTGGCACTCAAGGTGTCAATAAAAGAAATTCAGAAGCGATAGAAAGTTCCCCAATTATTCTAAGCTTTGAGGCATTCCGGTCACCGATGACCACCGTGGAACCTTCGGTCACTGATGCCCACCGTGGAATCTCCGGGGACAGGTGGCCAACGTGTCGATAAAAGAAATTCAGAAACGGTAGAAAATTGCCAAATTTCAGCTTGGAAATATTTGCAAAATGAAAAAACGCGAAAGCAGAAGATTTCGCGGCTGTAATTAAATATGTTTAAGTTACGCACTAAAATCGGCCGCAGCGAAAGGGTTAAATGTCCTAGGTGGCCACCTGTCGAGTCCGCTGAGTTTCAGAACCCACAGGCGCTTGCATAATCACCCCTTCTTTTTTCACCTATCGATCGTACAAATGTCGCTAGGTATTAGAATTCACGTGTCGTGACTTTTTCCTACGGCGTTGACGAAAGGTTGAAAAAGTGGTCGAGTATTTTAGTACGTCCGTGTACACGTGTGTGTTGTGTGCGAATACAGAGAAACGTTCTCGCTCGTTGATTAATGTTCACGGACGTGAAACGTGTTCTCTTTGCAGATAATTCCGCCGACGTTTTGCGGATGCGCCTTGATACCGAACTTTAGCGATCGTTCATTGTCGTAGGTAGTTTAACACCGGGCATGCTCGGTGAACGTTCCATTGATTAGCATTTCACTTCTTCTGTTTTTTTCGCTTCCATCGATCCGACGCGTAGATAAAACTGGGTAAAGAAGGAATAATCCTGGAGGATCGTTGGCACATCCGCGAACCGTGATCGCGCGCCAATTAAAGCTCGATGGAAGAGAGCGGAGCTTCGAAATTGTCTATCTTTCTCGCCGCGGACACGGTTTATGCGGGTTCGAGCATCGGTAATTACAATATAGAACAATGGTGGAAGAAGGTTAGTTTCACGGGCGTAGGATTATTCCGCGAGGCGCATTATCATACCAAAGAATGTAATATTTCACGCGGCCAAGGTCCATGAAACGCCATCGCGATGCTATAAAAATAACACGCGATGAGATTATAATTCAGAGGTTCCGGCTACCGTGACGCTTCGAAG